TTATTTTTTAAAATGTTTGCATCTAGGGGGAAAAGAGAGGAGCATTTCCCCCCTTGCTGGCACAAGCCACAAAGATCACGGCAGTGCCATCAATGCTTCAGGCACTGAAATAAAACAGCAGGGTTGCTGTTAGGGCACTGGGAACCTATGGGAAGAAGTCATTGGCCAATGGCTAAGCATGGTTTGTGTATCAGGAACCCTCAACAGGCTTGCTCACTTCTCCTCCTCACTCACACTCTTTCTCTCTTCTCCGTTCATCATTATAAACATAAGAGTCCAATCCACTGCTCAATGCAGCGGCAGCAAAGCATGAAGCTACACCATCCTGGCAATGCGTATCCAGCCTCTGAGTTCCACTAGGCAGGAACCCAACTTAGCCTTCAGTCAAGGAAGGTTGCTAGTTCAGAACCCAAATTCTAGACCAGAGGTAGGCAACTTTATCCAAGGATGGGCCGATCAACGGTCTGTCCATCAGAGGATGGACCGGAGCGTGTGCGCACGCGTGCTCTTCCGGGTCGGAGGAGTGCCTGTGCGCATGCACACATGCTATTTCTGATGCTCCTCAGACCCAGAGGTGCACTGGAAATAGCATGGGCGCTTCTCCATCCCGGACGCATGCGCACACACTATTTCCAGCGCACATCTGGGTCAGAGGAGCACCTGTGCGCATGCGCACAGGCACCATCAACCCAGAGGTTGGTTCCCACACCACACCAGTAAGAACAGGGGGCGGTGGGTGGGTGGGGGGCGGCAAGGGTTGTCATGGGCTGGTTAGACAAGCCTTGTGGGCCGCTACCGGCCCACGGGCCTTATGTTGCCGACCCCTGTTCTAGACAAAGCAGTGCTTGTAGCCAGGACATAACTAATAAAATAATAATAATAATAATAATAATAATAATAATAATGGCGGCTAAAATTCCAGTTAAATGTTAAGTCTGACTCTGCAACTCTTATGTACATGGCTGATATCCTGGGTGACTTCAATAAGCAAATCAGGACTGGGAACATCTCTTTTTAAAATGTTCTTAACAAGAGGACAGTTTGCTTTTCAGAACCTGTTCCTACCAAATTGTCTAAATGAGCTAGCAAATGAAAGAGGACAATTACTGAGCAGTCCCTGTCATTAAGGCATATTGATATAGAACATGTAATTGGGTGAGGCCCATTTCCAATATATATAATTATCATACGGTTGGGATTTCAGTTCAGGGTGCCATTTATCTCTCAGCACCATCTCAAACTGCCACTTTTAAAAGCAAGCGAAAGACTCTCTGGTGTGAAAGATGCAGCTCCTTTCTAATAAAAACCGATAAACTTCTAGGTCTTGTTACAAAGAAAATAAGCCCAGAGGTCAATGCCTCCTGCTGCTGCAGAAAAAGGAGAAAGAAGGAGGCCATTAAAAGCTGTCTGTTGTTAATGACCTACAGAGGTCATTAACATTAGGCTCTTTCATTAGAACACAAGCCTGACTTCAAAAGAGTCTAGGATCCCAATTTGCTTGGAAGGGTATCACTGATTTCAGCGAAACTTCCTTCCACAAGACAGTGTCCTGTTGTTTTGAGTACTGACATACTCCAATTGTTAACTACAAAACCAAACTGCACAAAGAAGACCAGGAGAACAGGGGAGAAAATCCTTCAAATTAACTCACCATTCCTTGCATAACATTATTTAATTTCTTTGGGTTTATTTTCAAAGGACTCACACCACTACACCCACACACCCACCCTCCAAATGTTCTTCTGTTCAAATTGACCATAGGCTGGATTGAGACAAAGCTAGTCACTTAGATACTATAAAAATCAATGACTAATTTGAATCCTATTGATTTCAGTGGAACCTAAGTTGGACTTGGTTTGTATCCAGATCCACTACTATACACTTCTGATCTATGGGAACACATTCAAAATGTGTTCTTTCTATACAGTTGTACATTGGAAGTTGAATGGAATCCATTCCGGAAGTCCGTTTGACTTTCAAAACCAAAGCGCAGCTTCTGATTGGATGCAGGAAGCTCCTGTAGCCAATTAGAAGCCACAGAATCCTCACTGAACGTTCAGCTTCCAAAAGAACGTTCAAAAACCAGGAACTCACTCCCAGGTTTCGATCGTTCAGCAGCTAATTTGTTCGGGAGCCAAGGCTTTCAAGATCCAAGGTACAACTGTATATTGATCAGTACAGTAGCAACCATCCAAGAGAATAGAAGCATTCTAAATAAAGTGTTTTTTGTGGGGGAGAGGGGGAAATTTCTTTATTTATGAAATATCCACTGACAACTAACCTTGCAAAACATTTGCCACACAGATGGCCATTTCTAAAATAGCAACGCTAGGACAACTAACCAAATGATGCAAGGTTAATAAGCAGGCACACTTGAAAGAACACCTCAAAGAATCCTCTCTATAGTGATGCACAGTTTGAGGACTAATTGTCCTTTAAGCCTATGGAAAGCAATCTTTCAGCCTCTGGCCAAGGCACTGATGCTGGCTGGCTACAGAGCAGTGTGGAAACAAAATAGCTCAATAAATGAAGTCTTTTAAATATCAACGTGCCCTTTCTCACCCCAGTGAAGAGGAACCGGGGGTTTGCCCAGAAATCCCATTAACATGGCTCATGAAATTTCAGAGTCTAAAGGAAATGAGAGCCAGCAACAATAACACTTGCATGGAAAGTAAATGCTACTCTAATAATTACTGAGCCGGGGCATATTTCGTCCTTTAAATCTTACCATTAGATATTCAGTGTCCATGCACCTAATATACGTTTTCGGGAGTTTACATAAGCCATTTGAAACAAAGAGCCAGTTATTGTCCTCACTTCTCGTAGCTACAATAACCAGATGAAAGCATATTACATTTAATCTACTAAGCAGCGCTTAGCAGGCACATGAAAAAACAAACCGAGATGCATGGCAGGTTACTGTATATCAGGAGGGCTATCCGAGGGAGATTATAAACCTGGCAGCCAGGGTGGTCTTGATTCTGAGGTTTACCTCTGCTGAGAAGGCATTTCAGGTAGCAATATGGGGGAAAGGTGGGCCTCTTCTGCTGGATCGTGTTCATTAACAGAGCAGCTGCTAAAAGTATCCGAGCGAGCTGCTTTTTTCAGTGGAAAGATGCTTTACATAGGACCACTAAACACAACACCATTATGGTGTTGTTGCTGAGGTGGACAGGTCTGCTTGTCTCTAGGGATGCGCTTGTGCAGCAAAAGAAATATGTTGACTGTTTTTTGTTGACTGTTTTTATGCTTTTATGTGTTGAAATGTTGAAAATCAATAAAAAAAATTGGGGGGGGGAGAAATATGTAAAGTGGGACATGGAAGACACAGCATACCTTCACTGATGGGTGGGACTTATCATAGCTCTCAAGAATCAAGGGAACTTGGAGGCTCCCCTTGAAATCACTAAGAGTCGGAACATTTTATCATATGTGGTGGGAATGTAAAAAGGTGAAAAACTTCTGGGAAATGATATATAATGAAATGAAAAAAATGTTGACATATACCGGTACATTTATTAAGAAACCAGAAGCATTTTTACTGGGCATTGTAGGAGATGATATAATTAGAAAGGATTGTAAGCTTTCTTATATGCAATGACGGCAGCAAGAATATTATTGGCAGAAAAAGGGAAGCAAGAAGAATTACCGACGAAAGAAAACTGGAGGATGGAATTGATGGACTATGCAGAATTAGACAAACTAACAGGAAGAATTTGAAACCAGCGGGACCAGAGATTCACAGAAGACTGGTGTAAATTTACGGACTATTTGAAAAGTAATTGTGATGATCAGATTACATTTGTAGGTTTGCAAGAAGTTTTGTGAGGTGAATAATTTGAATTATTGCATAATTGGATAAAAAGGAAGACGTTAGTTAAGATAATTAAAGGCAATATGAATTTAAGAAATGCAGAAGAAATGATAAAAATGGGGATCATCAGAGGTGCTGATGGAAGTCCAAAAAGATTGTATAAGATGTGAAATTTTGTGGTATGTATGACATTTAATATTTTTAAAAATGAATAAAATATATTTTTTTAAAAAGAAATCACTAAGAGTTAAAGGGGCAGCTCCAGCTGCAGATTTGTATCCTTAGTTATCTCACTCAGCTAATGCCTCCTTGCAGCTGAAAAGCAGGGGAGGTTAGCTGAATGAAATAATTAAGAGATAGTAAAGCTTCTCTCCCTCCCCCAATTCTCAATACGTCATCAGACTTTGGGAGGTTTAATTTAGGCTTTACATTTTGTAAATTGTATAATTTTAAGTCTCTTCGAAATCTGGATGGCAAAAAGCGGGGTGTGTAAGTCTGCTCCCAGACTTTGGAACTCCCTTCATAAACTGTTTTATTTTGGGAACTGTTTTTTTAAAAGGCTTTTAATAATGCTGTGCTGTTTTTAATATCCCAATACAAGAAGAAAGCTAAAAGCATCTGGGCAATCAAGTGAGGATTCTTTTCGCTCTCGCGATCAAACCAGTGACTGCAAGAATATTAAGAAGAGAAAGAAGTTGCAGAAAGCTTCTTCTGCACAGAAGCTTTTATTTGTAAAATAGCTTAATAAAGATAAATAGGAGAGCCAAGCTCCCTTGATTTTACACCCCTAGGACAAATGAAAGCAGTTAAAACTCCGCTAATCTCCATGGTCTGAAACCTAAAATAAATTAATTTATAGAAGTTAACAAAAGGAAAGTTCCTTCTCTTCCTCTCCTTGAGGAACCCTCAAAAAGCCTGACCCCCCCCCAAAAAAAAACCTCTCTGTGGGTTCAGGAGGACGCTGCTGAGGAATATGGGACAGGGTGTGGGGAGCTGTTGTGAGAGAAGAGAACAGAAAACCTTCTTTCCATGAAGGTGGCTGTCAGAGGTGACTGCGGGGTGTAGGATGAGATGAGAAACTTTCCTTCCATTTACTTCCATAGTTTATCTTGAAGTCCAAACTCATGACTTCAGATTAACAAAAATACAGCATTGCCTGTCCCCAAGGCTGACCGGTTATTCCTACTTTTTGCCACATTTTGATGAAGAAGAGCTCTCTGGAGAAGTTGAAGGCAACGTTCGTGTCATACGCATCGTCCCCAATGTTGGAGATGGTGATGTTCAGGGAAACGTTCTTCACGGCTCCCAAAGCCAGATAGGGAGCCCTATCATCCATGCTGTGAACAGAAACGACAACAGGTTAACCCTTTGCTACTCATTCCCATCTTTTCTCAATTCATAGTAGAGAAACATGACATCTCACTTAAAAAACGCAAGCCAAAGGAGTTCTCCTGTTACAGGGAGACAAGAATGAGGTGTCTGGCTCACCTCCTAGTCAGTCACTGTGTGGCCAGGCCAAAAGCATTACTTGAGACCACAATGCAAATCAGAGATCATATTTCATCGACCATCAGTGCTTGCTGCCGTTACTGTGCACTGAAATGAATGAGAAAAATTGATTGGCCCCATGTGCACTACACTGAGCTCACTTGAGGAAGAGGGTTGGATAGTATTGCATACAAAATGAACATTAACCTAAAAACACTGTAACTGCAAGAAAGAAAGCAAAAAGAGGGAGAATAGAATACATATGTTGTCAATAAAGCAACGTAAGCCATTGTAGACATGAAATGCCATTTCACATCACTGCATCCTCTACAGCAGCAGCAGCTTGCTTGACTGGGTCAATCATAAGGAGGCTAAGAATATCTGGGATTATCGTGGAGTCTGTAGGAGCAAAAAGCAGTAACTGGAAGCGCAAGTTGATGCACTGCTGGACCTCTTGCAGAGAGGTCACGGTAGGCAAAAGTGAGTGCTTGCAGATGACGCCTTCTTTGCAGTCCTTTAAATCGGCATTAGAGCCAGATTTTCTCAACCTTGGATCCCCAGATATAGTTGGAATACAACTCCCATCCAGTGGCATCTCAAAGGGAGGCGGGGGCGGTCCGCCCGGGGTGCCATGTCCAGACAAGAAGGCACCCCATGGGGTGCTCATCCCACCGCCCCCGGGTGCGGCGGTGTGAGCAGCCATTGCGCCACTGCAGCCACATGCGGAGATTCCTCCGTTCGCATCTGCAGCCACAATCAGAGGATTCCGTTCGCATCTGCAGCCATGAGCAGAGGATCCCGCCACCGTCTGTATGGCGCCCAAACGGCGCCGACGGCAAACTTGCTATGTACAACGTATGTGCGGTGTCACACGCATGCGCTGTATGTAGCGACGCCGCACATGTGCCCTACATAGCAATGCCACGAATGCGTCGTATGTAGCAACGCCACGCATGCCTTGTACGTAGCAGTGCAACGCATGCGCAGCCAGCGGTTTGCCCCGCCCCGGGTGTCAGTTAGCCTTTGTTCACCCCTGCTCCCATCATCCCTGCTGAGAAGGGCCAGCAATCAGCAATGATGGGAGTTGTAGTCCAAACACATCTGGGGACTCAAGGTTGATAAAGGATGCATTAGACTGAGCCCAGAAGAACAGAACTGACCAGACTGGGTGTGTGGGGTGGGGAGGGGCACCCTTTCTTGAGTGTCTTTGTCAAAGGGTGTTTATAGCTCAGATTCACCTCTATAAAAGAAATATATTCTGACTGAAGACATGGCTACATGCCACCTGTCCAAATACATGGAACCTCATGCATGGAAGCATAAAGGTAAAGGTAAAGGGTACCCCTGCCCGTACGGGCCAGTCTTGTCAGACTCTAGGGTTGTGCGCCCATCTCACTCTAGAGGCCGGGAGCCGGCGCCGTCCGCAGACACTTCCGGGTCACATGGCCAGTGTGACATCGCTGCTCTGGCGAGGGCACCAGGCAGCAGCAAAGACCGATTAAGCAAAGCTCCAAATCACCACTTAGGTGCTTTTTGGTGCTCCGGTGGTATTTAACGTTTCTGTCACGTCATTCATTCAATTCTATAGAACAGGACGATGTAGTCCTTTCATATCGAAATAAATTGATTCCAACGGGGCTCTTGATAATTTAGAAATTATATTCAGAATTATCATAATTATATCTAGAGCAAATGCTCCCTCTACATTGTTGTATATTACATTGAGCATCACTAGTGAGAGCATATGTGACAGTGGTGAGGAAGAGCCACAGTGTCATCCTTGTGACATTGGCATTGATGCTGGGCTGCAGTAGTGCACCACCACTAATCCAGTTCTCCCACCGCTGCAGCCGCACACCCCCAACCTCGCTGCCAGCCCAGCCCCATCAAAGTAAGCACCAGCCCCACCAAATGTCAATCAATCTCCTTCCCTGGCAGGCAGAGGATACAAAAGTACATAAATCAAAAAATAAAATTGGCGCCTGTTCATAAAAGGAGATACTTTAAGAGGAAACATAATCAGGTTAAAAAGTGCCTTTCAAGTCTTGCAGCGGCGTAGTTTAATGGCATCTCTCAGAAATGTTGCTACTTTCTCCGTAATGTCACACCTATGACCGTTCAGGACACAGGAAACCCTGAAGAAGTCGGGGCAATTTAACCTTTCTTTCAGCATGGCGTTTAAATATTTATCGTGGATTTTTGCATAAAATGGGCAGTAAACAGAACACGTGCAATGATTCTGACCTGTTTTGTACTGCAAGGACAATGCCTTTCTGAGTATGGAATGCACTGCTACAGATGCATAAGAGTTTGACCCAGAAGACCCTAAGGGTGTATCCATGGTGCTCCCCAAAGATTGCAAGACTATAACTCCCATCAACCCCAACCTTCTGGCTCAGAATGATGGGATCTGCAGTTCAACAGCATCGGGGGAGGGGCTACCCCTGACTTTAAAAAATCTTATTCCGGTTTAAAAGCATTCAAACTATATATACAATAAACTACTGATTGCCATACATACAGGGAAGCACAGAATTTTTCACCAAGGTAACAATGAATAAGGATCACGGGTCACTATCTGCAGCTGCTGGTTATCTCGTAGAGTAAAATATATGAAAAATAGGGAAATGTTTTAAGTCGTCATTAAGTACAGCATGTATTCCACCCTTGAGGGGAGGGGGGAAGTGGGATTCTTTGGAAAGCACGAACTAAATGTCTGAACTGAATGAACTGCCATCAGATTCATAGCTTTAGGGTACTTTATTGAAAACCTCATTGGTTTGAGTCTGACAGAGGATTTCTAATCCCCATCACAACAGCAACAGGAGACTGAGCTTAGGCCTTCCTTTCAAGACAGCAGTTTCCTGAGTCATTAAATCTCAGGACATCTGGAATGAATCAGGTACACTTTCAGTAAGAACTGGATTAAGAAAAAGAATCTCTCCATTGGCAAGGGAATTCCTGAGCCCTGTTTGCTTATCCGGGGCATGATGTCATTGGGTATGGATTGCCTGCAGTGATGTATGAACTGCACTGCCAATGTGGTGCCATCCTGCCTTAGCATCTGCAGTTCATTAAACAGGAAGCGCTGCCGTCATCAAAATGTGTTGGTTGAACTGCATTGTTCAAGAAACAACATGACCCAGGCTTCACTGGGACACAGACAAACAGACAGGCACACACACCGTTCTTAAGGAACTGAAGATGTAAGCAAAACAGTAAATGAAAGAGGGATATCGGTTTTATTTTATTAACTGATTAGCATTTATGTGGACAGCCTAGTTCCTATCAAGGAGGGAGGCTGGTTCCCATGGCCACTGAACTCCTTAGCCAGACTTATTTTAAGTCTGGATTGCTCTGCGCACATGTGAATATTGTCTAGATTATCTCTGCTTAGAAGAGGTTTCGCTCAAGAATTTGACTGTCAAAGCATTCCAGTGGGGCTTATATTCCAGTGGGCCTTAGGCTCTTCAAAACAGTGCTTTAGACCGTGATAAAATCTGTGCTTACAAAATCAAGTTATATAATAGCACAGGGGAAAGGCAAGGAAATTTGTCGTCTGCAGATTCTTTGGTTTATCCAGGGCAAAACTTAAGCAGATGACTGCACAAGTACACAAAATCTCTACGTATAAATAACATGGCGAATCAACATGAATTAACGTGTACTCAAGAACACCCAGTAACTGGAACACTTGTGGTAGCTGTTATTAGTGCTCCAGTATAACCAATAGGGACGCAGGTGGCGCTGTGGGTTAAACCACAGAGCCTAGGACTTGCCGACCAGAAGGTCGGCGGTTCGAATCCCCGCGATGGGGTGAGCTCCCGTTGCTCGGTCCCTGCTCCTGCCAACCTAGCAGTTTGAAAGCATGTCCAAGTGCAAGTAGATAAATAGGTACCGCTCCAGCGGGAAGGTAAACGGCATTTCCGTGTGCTGATCTGGTTTGCCAGAAGCGGCTTAGTCATGCTGGCCACATGACCCGGAAGCTGTATGCTGGCTCCCTCGGCCAATAAAGCGAGATGAGCGCCGCAACCCCAGAGTTCTGGACCTAATGGTCAGGGGTCCCTTTACCTTTACCTATAACCAATAAGTTAAATCAGGGCTGGGGGAACTGGTTTTGACTGGAATCCAGAAGTGGCCAACCCTTCACAAGCAATTTTGCATTAAAAAGCATGTAACAGGACAGAGCAGCATGAATGGGGATGGAACCAACCTGTGATCAGAATGGATTGTTTTCTTCATCAGGGGCTGGTCTCAATACTGACTTCTTTGGGGGCTTTCTCTCGTGTTTTTTATGGGAATCAAAGTGCCTCTCCTCTTTGTTCCTTGCTTGTCCAGGAAACAAGAACTCATTCCCTCACCCCACAACATCCTTTTAACAGCCCCACAAAAATGCAGAGAGGGCAGACTTTCAAAGGGAACAATAATAATCGAGAAATTCTGTCCTCTGGTTCAGTTCAACTATAATGTGGATCTCTTCTTTCTTAAGAAACGAAACAAAATCCACTACTGCTAGTCAACTGTAAGGTTAAAAACTGTAAAATATAATATGTTACGGCAGTTTCTGCCTAGGGCTTATTCACAAGGCCACAATAATCGTTTAGGGTGTCATCTGGCTCAATTCTTGTTAATGGACTTTTGCCGTTAACTTGAAAGAAAAACTTCCCATTAAGTCAATGGAATGTGGCCACACCCTTGATAACTAAATTGGTGGTGTGCAAGACCTATCACAGATCAGCTGTCATCAAGAGAATTGCCTTGGCAAGTGAAAAGACTAGCTGCCAATGGACACCGGATTATCCATTCCTAATAGCTATCTCCTTCAGTTATGTGCATTATGCCTACAAGA